GCGCTGCCTGGAGCGCTCAGGAGATGCTTCCCCCTTCCTGAGGCGATACTCCCAGCATGCACTGCGCTGCCTGGAGCGCTCAGGAGATGCTTCCCCCTTCCTGAGGCGATACTCCCAGCATGCACTGCGCTGCCTGGAGCGCTCAGGAGATGCTTCCCCCTTCCTGAGGCGATACTCCCAGCATGCACTGCGCTGCCTGGAGCGCTCAGGAGATGCTTCCCCCTTCCTGAGGCGATACTCCCAGCATGCACTGCGCTGCCTGGAGCGCTCAGGAGATGCTTCCCCCTTCCTGAGGCGATACTCCCAGCATGCACTGCGCTGCCTGGAGCGCTCAGGAGATGCTTCCCCCTTCCTGAGGCGATACTCCCAGCATGCACTGCGCTGCCTGGAGCGCTCAGGAGATGCTTCCCCCTTCCTGAGGCGATACTCCCAGCATGCACTGCGCTGCCTGGAGCGCTCAGGAGATGCTTCCCCCTTCCTGAGGCGATACTCCCAGCATGCACTGCACTGCCTGGAGTGCTCAGGAGATGCTTCCCCCTTCCTGAGGCGATACTCCCAGCATGCTCTGCGCTGCCTGGAGCGCTCCGGAGATGCTTCCCCCTTCATGAAGGCGATACTCCCAGCATGCTCTGCGCTGCCTGGAGCGCTCCGGAGATGCTTCCCCCTTCATGAAGGCGATACTCCCAGCATGCTCTGCGCTGCCTGGAGCGCTCCGGAGATGCTTCCCCCTTCATGAAGGCGATACTCCCAGCATGCTCTGCGCTGCCTGGAGCGCTCCGGAGATGCTTCCCCCTTCATGAAGGCGATACTCCCAGCATGCTCTGCGCTGCCTGGAGCGCTCCGGAGATGCTTCCCCCTTCATGAAGGCGATACTCCCAGCATGCTCTGCGCTGCCTGGAGCGCTCCGGAGATGCTTCCCCCTTCATGAAGGCGATACTCCCAGCATGCTCTGCGCTGCCTGGAGCGCTCCGGAGATGCTTCCCCCTTCATGAAGGCGATACTCCCAGCATGCTCTGCGCTGCCTGGAGCGCTCCGGAGATGCTTCCCCCTTCATGAAGGCGATACTCCCAGCATGCTCTGCGCTGCCTGGAGCGCTCCGGAGATGCTTCCCCCTTCATGAAGGCGATACTCCCAGCATGCTCTGCGCTGCCTGGAGCGCTCCGGAGATGCTTCCCCCTTCATGAAGGCGATACTCCCAGCATGCTCTGCGCTGCCTGGAGCGCTCCGGAGATGCTTCCCCCTTCATGAAGGCGATACTCCCAGCATGCTCTGCGCTGCCTGGAGCGCTCCGGAGATGCTTCCCCCTTCATGAAGGCGATACTCCCAGCATGCTCTGCGCTGCCTGGAGCGCTCCGGAGATGCTTCCCCCTTCATGAAGGCGATACTCCCAGCATGCTCTGCGCTGCCTGGAGCGCTCCGGAGATGCTTCCCCCTTCATGAAGGCGATACTCCCAGCATGCTCTGCGCTGCCTGGAGCGCTCCGGAGATGCTTCCCCCTTCATGAAGGCGATACTCCCAGCATGCTCTGCGCTGCCTGGAGCGCTCCGGAGATGCTTCCCCCTTCATGAAGGCGATACTCCCAGCATGCTCTGCGCTGCCTGGAGCGCTCCGGAGATGCTTCCCCCTTCATGAAGGCGATACTCCCAGCATGCTCTGCGCTGCCTGGAGCGCTCCGGAGATGCTTCCCCCTTCATGAAGGCGATACTCCCAGCATGCTCTGCGCTGCCTGGAGCGCTCCGGAGATGCTTCCCCCTTCATGAAGGCGATACTCCCAGCATGCTCTGCGCTGCCTGGAGCGCTCCGGAGATGCTTCCCCCTTCCTGCGGCGATACTCCCAGCATGCACTGCTCCGCCCAGAGAGCGGGGGAGGGGGCGGCTGCTTCCTGAGGCGATACTCCCAGCATGCACTGCTCCGCCCAGAGAGCGGGGGAGGGGGCGGCTGCTTCCTGAGGCGATACTCCCAGCATGCACTGCACTGCCTGGAGTGCTCAGGAGATGCTTCCCCCTTCCTGAGGCGATACTCCCAGCATGCACTGCGCTGCCTGGAGCGCTCAGGAGATGCTTCCCCCTTCCTGAGGCGATACTCCCAGCATGCACTGCGCTGCCTGGAGCGCTCAGGAGATGCTTCCCCCTTCCTGAGGCGATACTCCCAGCATGCACTGCGCTGCCTGGAGCGCTCAGGAGATGCTTCCCCCTTCCTGAGGCGATACTCCCAGCATGCACTGCGCTGCCTGGAGCGCTCAGGAGATGCTTCCCCCTTCCTGAGGCGATACTCCCAGCATGCACTGCGCTGCCTGGAGCGCTCAGGAGATGCTTCCCCCTTCCTGAGGCGATACTCCCAGCATGCACTGCGCTGCCTGGAGCGCTCAGGAGATGCTTCCCCCTTCCTGAGGCGATACTCCCAGCATGCACTGCGCTGCCTGGAGCGCTCAGGAGATGCTTCCCCCTTCCTGAGGCGATACTCCCAGCATGCACTGCGCTGCCTGGAGCGCTCAGGAGATGCTTCCCCCTTCCTGAGGCGATACTCCCAGCATGCACTGCGCTGCCTGGAGCGCTCAGGAGATGCTTCCCCCTTCCTGAGGCGATACTCCCAGCATGCACTGCGCTGCCTGGAGCGCTCAGGAGATGCTTCCCCCTTCCTGAGGCGATACTCCCAGCATGCACTGCGCTGCCTGGAGCGCTCAGGAGATGCTTCCCCCTTCCTGAGGCGATACTCCCAGCATGCACTGCGCTGCCTGGAGCGCTCAGGAGATGCTTCCCCCTTCCTGAGGCGATACTCCCAGCATGCACTGCGCTGCCTGGAGCGCTCAGGAGATGCTTCCCCCTTCCTGAGGCGATACTCCCAGCATGCACTGCGCTGCCTGGAGCGCTCAGGAGATGCTTCCCCCTTCCTGAGGCGATACTCCCAGCATGCACTGCGCTGCCTGGAGCGCTCAGGAGATGCTTCCCCCTTCCTGAGGCGATACTCCCAGCATGCACTGCGCTGCCTGGAGCGCTCAGGAGATGCTTCCCCCTTCCTGAGGCGATACTCCCAGCATGCACTGCGCTGCCTGGAGCGCTCAGGAGATGCTTCCCCCTTCCTGAGGCGATACTCCCAGCATGCACTGCGCTGCCTGGAGCGCTCAGGAGATGCTTCCCCCTTCCTGAGGCGATACTCCCAGCATGCACTGCGCTGCCTGGAGCGCTCAGGAGATGCTTCCCCCTTCCTGAGGCGATACTCCCAGCATGCACTGCGCTGCCTGGAGCGCTCAGGAGATGCTTCCCCCTTCCTGAGGCGATACTCCCAGCATGCACTGCGCTGCCTGGAGCGCTCAGGAGATGCTTCCCCCTTCCTGAGGCGATACTCCCAGCATGCACTGCGCTGCCTGGAGCGCTCAGGAGATGCTTCCCCCTTCCTCTAATGAGCCGCCATTTTTGCAGAAGAGGCTCTTGCGCCAGAAGCTGTCTGTCTACACTGCCCCTTCTTGCGCAACAAAAACCTTCTTGTGCGATGCCGTTATGCCGATTACTTTTCAGGAAGAACGGCATTGCACAAGAGGGTTTTTGTTGCTCAAGAAGGGGCAGTGTAGACAGCTTCTTCTGGCACAAGAGCCTCTTCTGCAAAAATGGTGGCTCATTAAGTATGCAAATGAGGCTCGGCGATATTCCATGCTTAGCCTTATTTGCGTATTTCTGGCGCAAGAAGCTGCGAGTGTAGACATAGCGCAGACAGTATCAACTAAGAGCAACTCTTGGCAGGCTCTGCTCTGGTTGGAGCCCAGCAAGAGGTGGCCTGGCTCCCAAGAGGGAAGGGACAACATGACTCTCTAATTGCCCTGTTCTATTCATTCCCTCTGAAGTACACAGCATTACCCACTGTTGTAATACAAGATACTGATCTAGATGGACCAATGGGCTAACACAGTAAGGCTGTTCTAGATAACTAGATAAATTCATGGAGGTTAGGTCTATCAATGGCTATTAGCCAGGATGGGTAGGAATAGTGACCTTAGCCTCTGTTTGTCAGAGGCTGGAAATGGGTGACAGAGAGGGATCGCGTGATGATTCCCTGTTCTGTTCACTCCCTGTGGAGCATCTGGCATTGACCACTATTGGAAGACAGGATACTGGGCTAGATGGACCATTGGTCCGACCCAGTACAGCCGTTCTTATGTTATAAGTTTCAGAAACATCTTCTCTGGCTTGAGCCGGGAAGGGGGGGGGAGGCAATGTTAGTCCCACTCTCCAGCTTGAGCCAGGCAGGAGGTGCAGCCTGTGTTGACAACAGTTCTCAACATGTAATATTTTTATCTCTGTCAAAGCCCTCCTGTGGAGCAGCTACCTAGTGAGACTAGAGCTCATTGTGTGGCGTAGCTTGGCTGTTGGGATTAAGATAGAATTCAGCTTGGTTAAAATGAGGGGGAACAGGTGGATATCCCAAGATTGAAAGCCCAAGATTGCAATAGTTAAGCTAAGATACAATGCCTGGGATGAGAGATTAAGCAGAGCTGAGTTTTGGCATAGCCTTGATGTGTGCAGTTATAAAGAAGGCAGTTCTGGATGATACCCAAGGTTTGATAGAGTGACCAAGAGGATGATGACCGCCATGACACACAGGAGGAGGGAGCTGACATGAGAATCAATGACCCTGTAAGTCTCTGGCCTCTGTTATATGGGACATCAGACTAGATGATCACAGTGGTCTCTTCTGGCTTTGGAACTGCTGAGCATGGAGAATTAAAGCTCTTTGAAGGGAAGATGGCAAAAGTAAAGGGGTAGCATGATGTTGTAGTGAATGAAGTCTGAGTGGTCATGAGACTTTTTTCAGAGACTGTCAAAGGGTTAGTGAGATGGAGTAAGTGAATTAGGATGGTGGAGAATGCAGAAAGAATGGAGGCAATGAACATCATGAAAAAGGGAAGAAAGGGCAGGAGGTGGGTATAAGGTTGAAAGCGTTTGAAAAGTTGTGGGTCAAACACAGCGATTAGGTGCTGGTATGAGAGCAAGTGAATGATGTTGCAGAAGACTTGGACTAAATTGGAGGAGTTAGTTTATTTTAATTTTAAACGGTGAAGTACACTCTTGAAAACTGTGCTTTTCAGGGTGGACACCTTACCAGTCCCATGAAAGGAAGGCATCTTGTTCCAGAATAACACATTTCTGTCAGGAAAGAGCTGGTGGATTTGTTTCTTCCTTACATCTCTCTATCTTCCTGGCAAGCATGCTTTCTTAGTCAAAATCCAGTGCAGAATAGTAGCAGTCCTTGCTTTGATATATGTTTATGTGAACCTAAATACATGTTGAACCTAGAGGCCAGGCCAGCATTCTTTCAGATTGAAAACTTGAGGGCCCATTACACAGCCTATGCACATTCCTCTGATAAAGTTTTTAGCTTGTTACCACTCTCCACTTCATTAATACTGGTAAAGTGCTCTATATATTGAGTTGTCCAGTACATCTGAAGGAACTACTTATAACTTGTATTTTATAACTGATTTGCAAAACACATTGAATCGCTATGTTTGCAGAAAGTTCTGTTCAGAAAAATACATGAGGTACATTTGAAGTACATTAGGAAGTAGGTGCATTAGGAAGTGTTATTGTCAGTCAGGGCCATATAGTGTAGATCTAGATGCTGCACATGGACACACATTTCCACCCTTAATGTGACTTGAGATTGGGAAACTTTAGAAGTTAAAGTGAGAGCCCTTTTTCTTTTACCTGCATTCTCAAACAATTTCAATTTCAATTGTATTTGTAGCGCATGATAAACCTGTCAGAGTTGACGCCATACATCTTGTGTTCCATCTGCAAAGGCTATTTTATAGATGCCACAACCATTACAGAGTGTCTTCATACATGTAAGTCTCCATGTTGCCCTTTTTAAGAATTTACTTTCAAATTTAGAGAGTGATCAGCCACCAAAACATCATGAATGAGATTTTCATGTCCCCACAATTGGGATTTACCTGTCTAAAATTACTGTATTCACTACTTACTCTGAAGTGAGGGCTCTTGGGTATTTCTGAGAGAGAAACAGAAAGTTTTTTTCTGTAGCAGGCTCAGAAATGCCCGTTTTCCATTTGTATTGCTCTGTTTAATGCCTAGCAAAATTAAAATCTTAAACGTCTCTCATTATTCCAATAGAACGTAATATACTTGAATGTTCAAGATTGCTCTGAAAGAGGTCCATAAAACCATTGGCCGACAAACCAATGTATAAAATAATAGGCCAAAACTGTTAGTAATTCACCATGAACTTATAGCAGTCAGTGAGGTTGTTTGCTCTTTTGAAACACAAAGAAAAGCTGTACTTTGGAAAAAAAAGAATGGTTAAGGGTAGGGCTGTCAACTGACCGGCGTAAACGAAAAAAAAGAATGGTTAAGGGTAGGGCTGTCAACTGACCGGCGTGAACACCTGCGATTGACGCAAGACAGGATTAACGTGTTAATCCTTTTAACATGTTAATCGCTGGCACTAATGCTGTGCTGCCCCTTTGAAGTGCCGCTCCTGTGCTTCAAAGGGTCTTTGCAACACAGAGCTGGGGATCAGTTGAGCACTCCAGCTGATCCCCCAGCTCCGCTTGCACTGCCCCTTTGAAGTGCCATTTTGGTGCTTTAAAGAGGCAGCGCATGTGCTTGGGATCAGCTGCGGACTCCAGCTGATCCCAAGCTCCTAATGTGTTGCCCCTTTGAAGCACCGCTGCAGCACTTCAAAGGGGCAGTGATGCATGGAGCCCAGAGTCAGCTGGAGACCCAGCTGACCCCAGGCTCCACCTTGCGCTGCCACTTGGAAACGCCACCATGGCGCTTCCAAGGGGCAGCGCTGCACAGAGGCAAAGTCAGCTGGTGACTCCAGCTGACCCAGGGCTATTGCGGTGCTGCCCCTTTGAAACATGGCTGCGGGACTTCAAAGGGGCAGCGCGCGTGATTAATTGCGCAATTACATTTTTTAATCACGCGATTAATCACGATTACATTTTTTAATCGCTTGACAGCCCTAGTTAAGGGTTAAACATTTGCACCAAACTGATACTGTGTTTAAATTCACTCTATTGTTAATGTCTCCAACATGTGAAAAGTTTACATAAAAATTAAATTGACTTAAATTAATTTTGCTTCATTTGTTTTATGTACTTACTGTTGTTCGGTTAATGTCTCAAGTTAATTACTCTTCTTGCATTATCTCTAGTAAACATTTGCTACAATATAATGGGCTTTTCAATTTTTTTTTCTTTACAGTTTGTAAAAGTTGCATAGTAAGACATTTTTACTACAGTAACAGATGTCCAAAATGCAACATTGTTGTACATCAGACACAGCCTCTTTACAATATCAGGTAATTAAGAGTATCTCAATTATTGCTATTAGTTTATTATTTTACTGTTAAAAACACAGGTTTAAAACAGTTTTATTTACCTATAATATTTTAAATTAGATTTACCCAAAGTTGCCCAGGTCCTTAAATCATTTTTGTTTTTCTTCATTCAAATCATTGTTCTGGGGTGGGACTAGGGATGAGGGATTCAGTATGCAGGCTGCCCCGGGTAGAGGGGATTACCCCACCTCTGTCACCACAGTAGCTTAGGGCCAGGTGAGAAGTGCCTGTCCATGGCCGCTGTGGCTGCAGCAAGCAGAGCCGGGGAGGGGTGCATGTCCTCCATGTGGAAGACAGTCACACACAGACAAATAGACATGTAAACAGACAAACTCTGAAATATAGAGTAGATAGGTGTCCCTTTCTCCACCCCTGCCTCCTCCTGGCCCAATGGGGTAATAGCTGTCCCGGTACCCATCTCTGGCCTATTGCTTCCCCCCATGGTCATTCTTCAGTATAACTGTCCCTCCACCAGACCCCTCCCTTTCCATTTTATGGGAAACAATCAAATTCCAGGTACAGTCTAATATCCTTTTTATGGGAAACAATCAAATTCCAGGCACAGTCCAATATCCTAGGGACAACCAAACCCTGACCTTGGTTTAAGTTATAAGAGGAAGCTGCCTACCACATTCTGAGGTCCTAGCTTTTACCATTTAGAATGAGCTCTTGAACAAATGGACTCACAGACGTACGGACAGATGGACATCTCTAAAATATATAGGAAGAAGATATTTTATTTGTTTAGAATGTCATATTATCTTTGGTTATTGCAGTTGAAATAAGTTTAAAAACAAATTTACTTGTGCGATATACTCTTTGTTTATCTACACAGTATTTAGTTTGCCTCTAATCATTTCATTTTCTGCTTGTCCCTCACTAGCACAATGCTGCTGCTGCTGCTGTTAAATCTAAATCGTGACACTTAATCTTCTAGCAATCTTCTATTAAGCTTTATTAAAGTTATACAAAGCCTATCGTGTGGGCCTAAGATACTTGACATTATCTTTGAAAATATCCTGCAGATTTCTTCTTCTTTCCCTGATGATGTATTTTCAGTCCAAGAGGTTTGTTTTCCTGAAGCGCTGTAGCCAAGAGCTGAGTGCACACAGACAGAGTTTGATTCTTTATCTGTGAATTTTTTTGTTGGTAAATATAGTGTTCAGCATTGTATTTAGCTCTGCTGCAAAATTTCATGATTAATACAAGTGTTTTTATATTACACCCAAAATATACTCATATCTGTTACATCATGTTTTTAATATATTCAGTAATTTATTGTGTGAATGTGTCCTGTCTGACTAAGGACCGTTTCTCTTCTTTTCTTATTAGGTTGGATCGACAATTACAAGATATAGTTTATAAATTAGTTGTCAGTCTGGAGGAGAGTAAGTCTATTTTCATTTCATTACCACTCTGTTATTCTAATTAAACAGGAAGGAATTGAACAGATAAGTTGGTAGCCACTTCAATTCACAACACTGTATTTCTGCATTTCAGCTCCTTAATATGGTGAACTTACATGTATTAGTAAATATTAGTTTTAGAATCATAGAACTGGAAAGGACCTCAAGAGGTCATCGAGTCTACTTCCCTGCCCTCATCAAGGACCAAGCATCACCTGGATAATCCCTGACAGGCGTCTGTCTAACCTGCTCTTAAATATCTCCAGTGATGGAAATTCCGCAACCTCCCTAGGCAATTTATTCCAGTGTTCAACCACCCTGACAAGAAGTTTTTCCTAATGTCCAACCTAAACCTACCTTGCTGCAATTTAAGTGCATTGCTTCTTGTCCTATCATCAGAGGTCAAGGACAACAATTTTTCTCCCTCCTTTTTATAACACCCTTTTAGATACTTGAAAACCGCTATCATGTCCCCTCTCAGTCTTCTCTTTTCTAAACTAAACAATATGAGCTCTAACAGTGTTTATCCCAGCTGGTCTGACTAGCAGTCCAGATCCTGTTCTTTGTCTTTCGTCCAAGGCCAAGGACCAGTGTGTGCTCATGTTACCAATAGCCAAACAGCTCTCTTAAAACAGAATATATTTATGGACAAAAGCAAACCGAGAAAACATCCAGCAATAAGATGGTCTAAACACATACCAGTTGTACTAGAGGTTGTGCATCTTTCCTTTTGGGGGAGTTTGGCAGGCCAAAGCTGTTGTAGTCCTTTAACAGGATTGGGTCCCTCTGTGTACGAAAGGTTACATTGGTTTGTTGGGTAGAAAGAAATTCCCCTGAGTCAGTTCAAGCTGTCCTTTACACCACAAGGTTTTTTTTTTTTGTTTTGCCTTTTTGTCTTTGCATCTCCTGATGTCAGCCTGGGCCAATATCTCTAACAAAAACACCCTAGGATGGTATTTCTCTGGCGCTCTTTACCATCCCAAGTATGGCATTCATTACTACCTGTTGTTCATGGTTCCTGAAGGAGTTGCAGTAACTTTCTCCCATGGAGTAGAATACAGTCCCTAGCTCACAGTGATACCCTTGTAAGGTTAATACAGTAGCCTCCAAAGATACTGCATATGGTTGCAATATCTATCACACCAAGGGCTCGTCTGTGCTACAAAATTAAGTCGGTTTCAGTTAAGTCGATGTACAGACATTGCAGTAGTTAGAGCAGTGGTTCATGTCCACAGTTGCCATGTGTATCCTCACCAAGAGTGCTTGTTGGGGCATTACACTGGGCTCAACTTCACAACAGGGAGGCTACCAGCAGTGAAACTGACATTCTTTTCAGCGCATGGCTGCTATTATTTCACATTTTAGCTCTGGCTGTCAGCCTAGAGAGAGCTTAGCTGGAGCCCCTTCCCCTGCTCTGAGGCTGCCAGCTCGAACTGCCAGCTATATAAGCGGTGCCTGGAGCCTCTAAGTTCCTGGGCTGACAGCTGGAGCGAGAGGGGAAATGTGAAATAATCACAGCCATGAAACTGACAAGAATGCCAAGCACAGACGGCAGTTGTCCTCTCCCCTCCCCAAAAATGCCTTACCAGCAGGTGACAGTGAGGCTCTGGGTGTCAGTGCCGGGACGGGGGAGACTTACAGCTATGAGCCTGTGGCCTGGGCTGTCAGCACTGATGGGATGGGGAATGCTCCAGCTGTCAGCTCCAGCAGCTAATGTAAGTAATACAATGTCTACACAGACACTGAGGGTATGTCTATGCTGAAATGCTATTTTGGGATACCAGAGGTATCCCGAAATAGCTACCCCGAGTCTTTTGAACGCGTCCACTATTTCGAAATATAGCGGACGCGCTATTTCACTGTCCCTGTGAACTTCATTCTATGAGGAGTAGGGGATGGCTCGAAATAGTGCTTTATTTCGAAATAGACTCAAAATAAGCTACGCAATTTGCGTAGCGCAAATTACATATCTTATTTTGAGTTCTGGGTGCTGTGTAGACACACCCTGATTGCCTTACCTAAATAGCATTGTAGTGTAGATACTGACATAATTAGAATGACATAAGCAGCCTTACTCCATAGTGCATACCAAGCCTAACTTCCTTCTCACCTCATGCTACTCTCAGCTTTGCTTTCCCCTTTTATCGGAGTGCTGGTGTGAGGGTCTGGACATGTGTATTTTGGTTGATCATGTTGAACTGAAAGGGTATGTGCTGAAGAGTCTGAGAGTCTATTTGGATAATATGATGTTTGGGAGTGGGTTGAGACTGAGATACAAATGAATGATGGATTAGCTGGTGAATTATTGGCTTTTCAGAGAATGCCCTTATAAGGAATTCAGTTGAGCAGTCTTCACTATGAGCCATCAAAGGCTGTGGTATGATAGTCATATAATAATTTTCATACATTTTCTGGTTAAATGTAGGAATGTAAGTGTTTAACTGGTTAACCAATAAGCTAATGCTTTTCGGTTCCAGGTTACCAAAGCAACTCCTGCTGCCACCAGTGGGATAAAAAATACTGGCGTTTAACCATGTAACCGATTCAATTGTAATTGGTTACACAGTTAGTATTTTTTAACCCTTTTTACATCTCTAGTTAAATGCACTTGACCATTTGCATCTGGGTCATCTCTCTGGAATGCTTTGGATGCTATTATGCGTCATGGATGATCATCTATATCTGCTTGAAGTGCCATTAAAACCTGAGTCCTTTTTACATATCTACAGTAACAGAAGTCCACAAACTTTTCAAAGCTGTTGAAGTAAAGTAACTGTTTCTCGGATATGACTAAACTAAGGAATAGTATGCAGTATTTGGTACAAAAATGAAATATTCTGTGGTAGTTTTCGGAGTCCTGGTTATAGTCTCTAATATATACTACAATACAGGTTGAACCGCCCAAATCTGGGACTCTCTGCTCTTGCAACATCCGTGGTTCAACAGAACCATGAATGTTGCTGGACCAAAGAGCTCAGGAGGTGGGAGCAGCGCAGGGGCTGGGCAGCCCTGTCTGGGCCAGGTGGCATCCGGGGAGTCCTCCCTGCCCGGGTTGGGGAACCCCCAGCATTAGTGGAGCAAGGTGGCTGGGGAGCCCCATCCCCAGCTGGGGAACCCCTGGTGTTAGTGAGCCAGGCAGCAGCTGGGAGTTCCCCCCTGGTGGGGGAACCCCCAGCACCATCTGGGCCACATAACTGAGGAGTCCTGGCCCCATCCAGAGAATCCCTGGTTGCAGCAGGGCTGTTGGCGGCCCCACCCGAGGAACCTCCCAGTGGTAGCGGGGCCGGGGTGACTGGGCAGCCTCTGCTGGGGCTGGCAGAGGTGGGCGGCTGGAATCCCCAGCTGTAGCCCGGTGGCTCTAGCAACAGGGTAGGGTGGCTGGGCAGCCCCTGGTGCAGCAGGGCAGGGAGGCCTTGTGGCTCCAGCCAGGAACCCTAGGGAACACCCTGTGACAGCGCTGCTGGCAGCAGCCAAGGAACCCTGGGGCAGCAGGGTGGGAAGTCAGCGCCAGAGCCCGGGAGCGGTGCAGCCAGCAGGGGAGCACTGAACTTCCCTGGTTTGGGACAGCTTAGGTCCTGAGGGTGCTGGACCAGGGATGTCCAACCTGTACCATGTTGTTGCACATATTAGAGACCAATTGTACGAGATTATGAAGCACTCAAGGGTCAGCTCTCCCACCAATGCCTGGGAAGCCCCTGTTAATGACAGTTGGAATTATTCCAGTAAATTCTGTAGGCATCTATTGGAAAAAACACCACCATATACTGTATTGCATTGTCTGTAAGAAACAAAGCCTAGCTTATGCTGTGTATTTTGTTGTTTCAGGAGAGAAAAAGCAGATGCATGATTTCTATAAAGAAAGAGGTTTAGAAGTACCCAAACCTGGTGAGTTTACTTTTGGGGGAGGGGGAGTACAATATTACAAAAAGAGGAAAAGAGGAAATTTTAAATAATTTCCTAACAGTAGTCTTTCTTTTTGAAATAGTGGTTTACTTTTGGAAGGACAGAAAGTCTCAGTTTAAACTTCCTGAAAGTATTTTGAAAGTATGTCTTAATCTTTTAGATAGTTCATAAAAACTAGAGATGGCATTACAATATTTTGAAATATGAAGTAGTGGAAGTTATTTGTTGCATTTTCGCACTGTGTCTGTGACATACTAATTGCTCTTCAGTTAACTTATCTTCAGTCATATATCAGTGAAAGGCTTTCAGCTTTCTCTGCTTGATTCTCTGTATGTAAAATAGGGATGTGAAAGTGTAAACGTTTACACAATGAAGCTATGAGCCTGGGCTCAGGAGTTAACTAACCTTCATGGTTACGCGCAGCCCTCCCTCCTCCCAGTGCAGCTGCCTCTCTAAAATTTCAGCGGCTACACGTTTACCTAAATAAATACATTTTAACATCCTTAATGTAAAATGAAGATTATAGCGCCTTCTCTACCTTTCTAAGGCATTATGAAGTTCAGTTAACTAATCAGAAACCCTCTAATGAAAAGAAGGGGTAAAAGTGAGAAGTGGGTGGGGGCTTTTCTGATACATCATTGATCTTTTAAAGATTTAAGAAGTGATGTATACAACATCTAGAAAATCATGGTACGGTAGGATCTATCCAGCACAGCTTTGAAGAAAAATTGTTCCTCAGTCATCTGTTGGAATTATTTGACTATTTGAATAAAATGGTAGACATAACTTATTGAAGTTGTAAAAGGCCTTTCACAAAGTTTCCCTCACAAGAAGCTACTAAAGAAAACAATTAGTCATGATATGCGGGACAAAGCACCATCCTGTCTCAAACATCAGCTAGGAGGAAAAAAGCAGGGGAGAATAGATGGTTGATTTTTTTTTTATTATGATAATATGAATAACAAGCATATGCAGAACTGTGATAGTAAATATTAAAGAGCACTGAAAGAGAGCAAAATCCTTTGTTCTGAGGCATAAGCCAACCTCCATCTTCTTGGGTTTAAGAGGAACTTTTTTGTGGAAATGATATTCCGTAACAGCTCACTACAGGTTGAACCTCTCTAGTCTGGCATCCTCAGGGACTGATGGGTGCCGAACGAGAGAATTTGCCAAGCCATGAGAGGTCAGTATTGTCTAGCAGCCTTACCATCACTGCCACTGCTTACTGGGCTCTTAGAAGACATTTAGGGGTAAATTAGAGCTAAATAGCATCACAGAACACTGAGAGCCAAGACTGATAAATGTAAACAAACTTTATGGAACCATTGGAAACTTGGCCACGACTATGATAAGTGGACATATGGCTAACTAAAATCTTGCCAAACCAGAATGCTGGATTAGAGAGGTTCAACCTGTACAAGGTTTCTTCCTTTAAATATCTGATTCTGGCCATTGTTGGAAATAGCTCATTGGTCTGATCCACTAAAGTAATTCCTATGTTCCTACGATGAGAATAAACAAAACTGAAAACTTCTGAACAAACAAATATACGTTGTCTTCTATGCTTCAGGACTTCCCAGTCAACCCCACTTCTGTGTGTTTTCAGGGTTTTAAACTCTTTGAGGTAGGGGCTATCTTCACTTGTTGTGTGCTGTGCAACAACAAGTACATTGTCAGCACTCAACAAATAATCTGAATTGTTGGATTTCAGGTCACGCAATTGCACAATGCATATTTTGTCTAAAACTAGGAAAGATGTATGTCCATTTTTGTCTCATTAAGCATTTATGAAGGTAAGAAATAATTTAAATTGTAACATTATTAAAGTATTAGATAAGCTCTTTAAAGACTATTAGAGGTTGAAAGATCCTTGTGTCACATGTCCCATTGTGATACGAACCGCTATTCAGAGAGGTGGTATGCCGAATGTAGGAAAATACAGTTATTTGGTACTAAATATGTACCTACTAAATATGTAGTTTGTAAGGAACTGAAATAATGAAAGTTATAGGTGAACTGAGTGGTCATTTGTTCCTGATTGTTCTTTTGGCTTGTATGTCACATCCAGTAGCTGATATCTATTTTTTGTCACTTTGATTTCTTTAGCTGTCCCACAGCCAGTCCCTGTGAGCAGAGGACGACCTCGGAAAGTCTTGGGATCAGTGTTCCGAATCCCACCAGAGCTTGATGTCTCACTGCTTTTGGAGTTCATTGGGTGAGTCAAACAAAGACCTGCAGCAGGTTGTGTGAAGCTGTAAGGACGAGTGTTTGAAATGTGAGCACCAGACTTAGACTTTGGAATAATCGTAATTTTTTTTAAAGTACCTGTCTGATGGTGATGGGGTCCCGAGGTGCAACCTGGACCGTGGGAGGGCTGAGCACTCGGTTCTGCCAACCTGGGTTGCCTCTCACATTGTGATGCAAATGTCAAGTTACAAACCTCTGAGCGGCACTGCACTTGCAGTATAGAGACTGCAGCCAATTCTCCCCAGTTTTATACACCAGATCTATATGGTCTTGCACTGGTCAGAAGTCTGACCAGTGTAAGTTCATTACTTAGTTCATTTCTTCATAGGACAGTGGACATGCACCAGCCTTTGTAACCTAAATTGAATTTCCCAAGCACTTTAGACACGCTCTCTGGAAACACTAAAACATTAAAATAAGTTTTAGAATCTATCTTTTTCCATTCTACAGTTATTGTAAGTGATAGTTATCTTAAGAAAATAAAAAGTAAACACATTGTAAATCCTAAACTTTTACTCTAAGCAAGAGTTGAATTGAAAGTTTTCTCATCCTGACGGATGTTACAATCAGGTTATGTTCCTAGGTAAACAGACTGGGGCTCCCTTCCACCCCGGAACCAAACTCCCTCAGTTCAAAGGTGTTGAGTTGCTGGGAGGCGAAGAGAGGCCAAGTGACGATTTCAGTCTCTCTCTTCTTCCAGCTTGCTTGAAAAATCCTTGCTGTGATGTGTGTTAATTCAGAGTAGTGGGTTGTGTGTTGATGAGCCATTAATGCCATCTGGCTATTGATGGCTACTCCTTTGTTGTAACTGAAAGACTGATTATGGACGCCCTCTCCCAAGCTCACAGTATAGTAATACTTCATGACTTTACCTACAATGATAGCATATGCAAACCAACAGAATATTAATGTTCAATAGATCAAGGAATACTTTGTACAAAACGTATCAGAATCATAGAACACTAGAACTGGAAAGGACCTCGAGAGATCATTGAATCCACTCCCCTGCCCTCACGGCAGAACCAAGCACTGTCTAGACCATCCCTGATAGATATCTATCTAACCTGCTCTTAAATATCTCCAGAGATGGAGATTCCACAACCTCTCTAGGCAATTTATTCTAGTGTTTAACCACCCTGACCGTTAGGAAGTTTTTCCTAATGTCCAACCTAAACCTCCCTTGCTGGATTTTAAGCCCATTGTTTCTTGTCCTATCCACATAGGCCAAGGAGAACAATTTTTCTCCCTCCTCTTTGTAACATTCTTTTAGGTACTTGAAAACCGTTATCATGTCTCCTCTCAGTCTTCTCTTTTCTAAACTAAACAAGCCCAATTCTTTCAGTCTTCCCTCATAGCTCATGTTCTCTAGATCTTTCATCATTCTTGTTGCTCTCCTCTGGACCTTCTCCAAATCTTCTTGAAATGTGGTGCCCAGAACTGGACACAGTACTCCAGTTGAGGCCTAATCAGCACAGAGTAAAGTAAAAGAATGACTTCTCGTGTCTTGTTCATAATACTCCTGTTAATGCAGCCCAGCATCATGTTCGGTTTTTTGCAACAGCATCACACTATTGACTCCTATTTAGCTTGTGGTCCACTATGACCCCTAGATCCCTTTCTGCCATACTCCTTCCTAGACAGTCATTTCCCATTCTGTATGTGTCTTCCTTCCTAAGTAGAGCACTTTGCATTTATTCTCATTAAACTTCATCCTGTTTACCTCAGACCATTTTTCCAGTTTGTCCAGGTAATAATTATGTGACAGTGATCAGTATGGGGGTTCCAGGATGCTACATTGAGGTACAAAGTGTCATACTGATGTGTTCATTAGTATTATTGGCCATTGTGTTTCAAAGACTATATGTTTCCGTTGTCTGGAACAGCACACAGAGCCTACTCAACATACTGCTGCAATGTCTCAGGCCTGTTTGGTCGAAAGATATGCGGTCAGATGCTATTAAAGAGATGACATTTAAAATGTTCAGATAGATTCATTTAAACGATCCAGTCACTACAGAATACAAAATGATCCAGTCACTACAGAACATTAGCTGTAGAGATGATGCTAACTTATTTTTTAAACCTGATTTTCTTCTCTTTTTAGAGATAATGGGTAGTCCAGATAACTGCTTGAGGATGGGTCTCCCTTTCTCTCCCTCTCCCACCCGTGTTGTTGGCAGAAATGAACTCATGGTGATGCTATGCTGCTACTCTGACACGGACCATTCTGGGACTTGTTCTCATAACGAGGAGATTGTGACTATACGTCATTACATGCCCTCTGCTTGCCACAAATGACATTGTATCCTCGAGATAAGTTACCAGGAAAGGCATCCAAAATGCAGGCTGGCACTCCTGAGTTTCATAGGGAACAAAGAAATGATACCATATGCACTGTGATTTCAGTGTTAATGTTCTGCGCAGTGAAGCTAAATCAGGTTATAGCACATAAAGATCAATGATCAGATTACAACAGTAGACTGACACCTCATTCAAACACTTGGCATCTGGGATCCTTCTCATGACGTGCCTTCCAGCAGCTCACTCAGTTCAGCACTACAGACTTACACAGTAGTCTGCTATCCAGAGTTTAACACTCTGATGTTCTAGACACACAATGTAATTTTAAGAGAACCTCTTCAGAGGGCACAGGCATCCAAGCTTTGAGGGAGAAGGGCTGTTTTGTCAGCTTGCTAGGGACTTGAGGCCAACAAGTAATTTGCCTGTTTAGGGATGGACAAAGCAAGTGGCAATTTGATAACTTGAGGAAGTATTTTTTTAATGTGTCTGACCAACACAAACCGGGCAGTGAGAGCACCATTTCTCAACAATTATTATAGACTGGGCTAGTAGCACTGTCTATTATTTAAGTTACCTGACACTATAAGGCCTCGTTTTCAGTTGCTTATAACTTTACCGAAGCTTAATCATGCTAGGTGTCTGCCATACGATGATTTTTTTTTTAAAGTTCAGCCAAAACAGTTCCCCTTTTCCAATGAAGAAGACTGGACAAAATGTTTTGCACATTTTATAAAAATTCTTAATATCTGATATATTTTTAAAATGCTAGTGTTTTGAAGAAGAACTTGAAGTTTGGTGGCCTATGAGCCAAACTGGATCAAATCTTTGAACACTGCAGCTCACGCATGCTCAGTAGAGATTTTTATTTTTTTTAGCAGCTAAAATCTCCAGAGAGTTGGTCCTCATTGTACATACTCCACTCCTGAACAGCTCCAGGGTGTGATCAGACCAAGTATGTACCTTCCCCGCAGAGCCAGGACTGCAGGAGTGAAGCAGACTTTCCCTATCATGGTTGCTTCCAGCTAGGGTGGGGCCAGGCACTGGAGCTGAGAGCCAGAAGCCAGTCTCTTCTGTGTTCGCAATGACACCCTGGCAGCGTGGATGAGGAAGCCACCTGATCTGAATGCAAAGCGGACAAGAGTTGGACCAAGGAGAGGGAAAAGACTAGATTGTGACTGGAATGGGGAGGAAAGAGGGTCTGGGAGATAGGAGCAGGGCAGGAGAAGCTGGGACCAGGAGCTGGATGGGGAGGCTGGGAATATATGAACAAGAGGACTGAATGTCATGGGAGAGATGCTACAACTTGGAGCTGGAGAGGGAAGTGGGCAAGACGGGGAGTTGGCAGGCTGAGAGCAGAATACTGATCCAGTGACTAGATAGGGAAGAGTGGGGCTGGCTGGGCTCAACGACAAGAACCGAGTACCAGGGGAAGAGGGGAGATAGCTCTGACAAGTTGAAAGAAGGGGGATAAATGGGTTTGGCGAACCAAAGAGATTGGGGTAGATAATCAGGGAGAGGACGACACCAGGATGAAGAGCTAGGAAGGCAGGGCGATGCACCTAAGGCTGAATGAGACCACCAAGAAGAGAGACTGGGAGCCAGAGATTGGGGAGGGAGCACTAAGTTGAAGGGGAGACCTGGGACTGGCTGGGCAAGGACAGTGGGACTGTCTGAGGGGAGAGGGAGTGACTGGGACTCAGACAGCAAGCCTAGATGGAGAACGTAGAATTGGCTGAGCAAGGAGTCTGAGACTGAGATGAGATGCCTAAAGAGTGGCGATTGGATCAAGGAGCCAAAGGTGGGAAAGAGCAGCACTGGGGTAGGGACTGGTCCAAGGGAACAAGGCAGAAGAGGTAAAGCTTGGGGGAAAGGCAGAAGTGTCTGTGTCTGCTTGACATTTTCCAGAGTCTTGAATGGAACAGAAGATTCTTGAGTCTCGCCACACTCCTGCTGTCAGCAAATATTCAGGAAACCTACTGGCAAAGAGTCCCATTTCCCTCTAGTGCTGGCCCATGTAGAGGATGACAATGTACTAGTACTATCTGGTACTCCGTAGGTCACATGGCTGAGCATTGTGTGGTCATTCCAAAAGTTCCAACCAAGATTCCCTCTAATTTTTTTCCATCACTTGTGCAGAATAAATGTGTGCTGAGGCATGTGCATAAGTGCACCACCAGGAGAAACACAGGCTGTTGGCCGTGGGTGCTCTGCTAGTAAGCTGGACAGCATTTGAATCTGTCCTGGGTGGCCATGGAGGTGCTCACCTTACTGGGAACACTGGTTCCAACCCTGCTGATGAACCAGTTGGGTGTCAGTATGATGGAATTTCTTTCTTTGGTTTATTTAAAGTCTAGGAAATGGCTCTCACAAAACTACATTAAAAGGACATTATAGTTGCAGTCAAGCACTGAAATGTTAGGAAATGGCAGAATTAAGGTTGCCTGTGTAATCTTCATTGCTCCCATTCCCTCAGGTTGCTCTGCATTTTGCATTTAATGATGTAATCATTATCTCCACTTGATCCCTGCATTATTCAGCACACAGGATAGACAAGGACCTAAGAATGAATTAAGATTGTGTAGTGAATTAAGTACATATGTAGGTCCCCCTTTGCCTCATTTGTTGCAAAAGTGGAAAGGTGTGTGGTGAATGAGATGGGATTTCATA